GGTATAATATGCAAACAGGAGAATCTAGAAAGCTGTGAGCCATCAAATTCTAAGCAAAAGTTCTAATTTAGACAGAAACTTTTTGCCCACCAAATTTATTCATCATCAGCATGTGTAATACTCCCTCCATCCCAAAAAAAGCCTCCCAATTGGGTTTGGCACAAAGTTTAAGAAAAAGTAAAATTGTGTGGTTGAAAGTGATGCAGAAAGAGAGAAAGATGTTGGGCCACACAAAATTTGCCAAAAATGGAAAGAGGAATCGTTTTTGGGACATCCCGAAAAGGAAATGAGGAGTCTTTTTTATGATAGAGGGAGTATATGTTATAGAAATACACTATTAAATTATTAACTCAAGTGTTTACTATGCTTTTTAAAATGATTTGCATTTTAATTCTGTTTTTCTATATTTTCCATTTTATAAGGCTCTGTTTGGAAACCAAGAAAATAACTGGCTTCTGAAAGTCCTTTTCCGAGTTATCTGCTGTTTGGTAACCTCTAGAAGATAGTCAATGAATTTGGGGATCTGTTCAATGGAAAATCCCGTCTAAAATCTAAAAATTGACTTCCCCTTTAGAGTTCCGGAAGTCATTTTCCTTTTAGTTACTGGCTTCTTCCTCACCATCTTTCTTCCTCTCCTCTTCTCCATCATTCTCCGATAGATCATTCTCATCCCACTATCCGTCTGCTCTTCACTACTCTGGTCCATTGGCCACCAGTCTACTATTCACTCTGGTAGTCTCCCTTAGCCTTGAACATCTTGTATCTTCACCGGAATAGGTAGCTATCCTCTTTCTCTTCTCATTAATTGGTAAATTTTTCCAACAATTTTTAACAAAATTTTTCTGCTACTAATTCATTTCTGTTGATTTTTCAAACAAAAAAATCTGCTAGGGTTTTTGTTTGATTTTTGCTTGAATCTTGCAGCATTTAAGCTTGAATATCTCTTCACTCTGTAAAAACTTTCGCTTAATTTTTATGCTTAAAAATATTATTATACCCCTCAATTAACTTCACTATACTCTTAAAATCAAATTAAAGTTGGCATGGATGCGTGCAAGTTAGAATTGTCTGGCAATGATTGCTGAACTCCACATTTACTGTAAAGGGGGGTGGTATTATTCTATGAATTCAGATATTTTAAACAAAGGTTTTGCAGTAGATATTTTTACAGTAGTATTATGTCTTACAAGTTCCAAATTTAAAGAGCAGTTTGATTGAAGTACTATATCGGGATATTAGATACAACCCAACTACACAAGCCCAATCCCAAAAGTAATTGCAAACCATTTACAAAAGTACAGTAAACACTTGAGATAATAACTTAATATTGTAGTTCACATACATATATTACACATGCTAATGATGAACAAATTAGGTGGGCATAAACTAAATGGGTATGACTAAATCCATCCCTTAAATGGTTAAATCCACTCTTTCCACTCAAATTTTCTAAATCTACTCTTTTCACCCAAATTTGCTAAATCCACAATCTAGATGTAAAATATTAAATTTATAAGAGTGGGAGTCAATTAGCAAATTTGGATGAAGAGTGTGAATAAAGCCATTTTGGGAGTGGATTTAGTCTCGCCCAAATTATATTTCATAGCAACGCTTTATATTGATTACAAAAAAAAGTGCTATGAATGACGATTACCTCATTATCAGGTTGTAAACAAGATTGGAGCATTACAAGGATAGTTTGTAGTGTCTTGAGTTGAAGACTCTCATCAGCCATTTCACCATGCTGCTAAAACAAAATAGTTAATAAAAATGAATACAGTGTAACTGTGTAAGATTCAACATGTATAGAAGTACTAGTAAGAGCACTAAAATAATGCATAAAACGGAAGATAAACTTTGTGGGACTCTAAAGGAAAGAACTGTATAAGCATTGATACACTCAAAAAACTGCATATGCATTGATTATTCTCTCACAAAAGTGTCTCGTGTTTGCACTATACATCCATATTCAAAAAAAAACTTTAAATCACTTCATATCAGAATTTCTTCTTTTTAGATTATAATGGATAGGAATGGGAGAGAAAATCTAATTTTCTTCTGTGCCATTCCAATCAGAAGTTGGAGATGGCTTGTTTAGAAGTTATTGAAAATAGAACATTCTATTATTCTAATAAAAGTGCTTTTTCCAAAGCACTTTTTAATGTATCTCTCAAACTATGAATGGTTATTGGATAGATGAATACAAAGAGTAGTGCTATTATTTTTTTGTCAAAAAAAAAAATTACTCATAATTTCTTAATTCTCACCTCAATATGATTCAATCTTTTTAGAAACACTCAACTCTCAATCCCCTTAAAACAAATGCCTTGACTTTGATTTTACATGTACGTGAAATTTGAAAATTTAATATTAACTCAACACTTGAACTTGAGATGGATAAACTAAAAAACTTGAACTTGCCTTGAACTCAATCAAATTCTATACTTAAAACAACATGAAGCTAAAACTTTAAATTATTCCGATTGAAATTGGACTTATGCTTGGTTTTAAGTGTGACAAGAATTTAAAATGATTTTGAAGCACTACTTTAACTCCAAACATGACTGCATCAACATTGAAATTGAGCCTTCATTTGAACTTGAAACTCTAAACTTCCAGACTTCAAAAAAGAATTAACTTTGACTTCAACTACGATTTATCTTTAACTTTGAGTTAAAACTTGAGACCTTTCATGGTTCAATTATTGTCAACCACCACCGGAAACAGAATTAGCATTCAAAATATTGATCAAAGAGTACCCTTAGTGGGTTGAACACTAACACCAAAGGGACGGCAGTCACGGCACTCCAAGGGAATTCACGATCAAAATTACCACAAGGTTTGGCTAAAATAGTGCACAACACTACCCAAACATGAAGAAATCTCAATCAAATTTCAGGAGCATATTTAAATTAAAGATAAGAATTCTTGACAAGTGAAAACCAATTCCCAATTTAGTCAACTAAAACGGAGATAAACAATGGAGAAAAACAAACAAATTGTAACAAGATTGAAATAAAAAGAACACAAGAAATCGAAGGAGGGTTTTCGGATGCTAAATCCGAACCCCCCCCCCCTCCTGGGGTTATTACCCTTGATTGTAGCCCTGATTTGAATCTTGATGTGTGGTGGTGTCTTGTATCACAGCCTCCTCGCCGTGTGGCGCTGTAATTCCTCCGGCTCCAACTGCGTTGAAGAAGCCGAATTGCAGTAGGAGAGGGAGTCCTAATTGACGCAGCTTTCTCTCAATTCCTCTATTGGTTTGTGACTGAAAGGATTTGGGTCTGATTTTGAGAAGAGGACAGCAGGCTATGCTTCGGGTCAGATCCTGTCCATTTAAAGCTCCACTTTATTTCTTTAAAATTTGGAAGCCCAATCATCCTTTGGCGTCTCCAGCCCACTCGAAGCTCCAAGAGTATATCTAATAAGCTTAGTCAAGGAAAATTTGGGTCCAAAAGAATAATATTCAAAAATAAACTAAAAGGGTGCATTACAAATAGATTTTGTAAATAATGCCTAAGATTCAAATATGATCATTTAAGTGTAAAAATGCACTTTTTAATGAATAAAAGTACTGATTTGGTAAAGATTAAATAAAGAATATTTTGGACTCAACAGTCAACACCATCCTTGAAACCCTAGCTCGCTGGTTCAATGCCTAGTGAAGCAAACCGGGGCTATATGTCATATCCTATTGCAATAATGAAAAATGACATTTGGATTGTGCATTCTCCTAGGTTGATAATAATTTCTAGGTTTTCTATATTGGTTTACCATATTTTGAGAAAAGTTTTGTTTATGCACATTCAAGGTGTTGTTTCCAGGTTCGCTAAAATGATCATTGTTCAACCTAGTGTTCTTTCTAAGTGGTTAGTGTTCCTAATTAATTTAGGTTGTCTATTAGGACTTGTTTTATTTTTCCAAGGTTGAGCGTCTTATTGTTCTATTGTTCTATTAGGACTTGTTTTATTTTTCCTAGGTTGAGCGTCTTATTGTTTTATTGCTCTATTAGGACTCATCGTAAAGTTCATTAAAAGCATCTTGCATATCATCAAAAGTATAAGGTTCTTTAGAAGAAGTGGTACATAACTCTTCTCGTGCTTTCTCATGTGCCATGAGGCAAAGGTTAGCGCTCTCGTTTTCTTCGCCATACGAAGACTCATTGCCGGAATCTCCTCCACAAGAGATGGATGCATGGTGGTTTTTGAACGTCTTCTTTTCCTTCTCGTTCTTGGTATTTGGGCATTTTTTTTATATGCCCGACTTCTCCACACCCATAGGATTTGGGTGGTCCTTGCTTAGCTTCTTTCCTCTCCGTTCATACTCTTTATGCATGAACTTATGAAACTTCTTAATCACGAGCCCGAACTCTTTGTCTTCGTCACTACAGTCCTCCACGGCATGTTCTTAGCTTCTGGAAGCCTTGAGTGCAATCCCCTTCTTTTTTTGTTCAACTAGAGAGGATAAAGAATGGTAGACTTATAGGCTTTGAGATTACCATCGATGGTAACGTTGGTGACGCCGATGAACTCTTGAACAACATCGGCCTTGGAACGCCACCCCGGTGTGAGGGCGGAGAGTGTGTAGAAATTTTTTTTGAAAGCAAATGTGAATAATTTTTTTCTTGTTGAGATAAAATATTTTTCCTTAAAAATGATTTGCCACCACTTATATTACCAAACGGAAAATGTAGAAAATTTGAATTTAAATTTTCCGAGAAAAGATTTTCAACCAACCAAACACCCCCCCCCCAACTTCCCTTCCTTCTTACTTTCTAGTTTCTATAAACTTCCCTTCTTACTTTTTATGAAGCTTGAGGAAGTAGAAAAAGCAATGCATCATAGTCTAACAGAAACACCTTCTCTGTTACAGGGGAAAGTTTGGCATGTAGAATCCGTATGTAGAAATGGGAGTCTGGGGTTGTCTCAACCCTAATATGATAGAAACAACAACTGAACAACATAACTAGAGTGGGTGTTTTGTTCGTTTCTCCTTCCTATACTTTCACCCTGAGCTAGTCAAGATTCCTACCTTCTCCTTTCAACTTCATTTGGGATGCCGATTGTAAATTTGCAAAGCGATGTAAGAAAAGAATTCAAAGGCTCAACTGCTAAAAATAATATTATCAAACAAGAGAACCATTAAAATATAAAGTGGATGTCAAGTTCAAAAAGTTGTCACCTGTGTAAATGCTTGATAACCCTTCAATATTTCTAACACAATCGCTTCACCTTGAGACCTTCAAGGATCAATGGTAGATTACTCAAAACATTCACTAACAAATTTAATGCAATTGGCATGCTTGATTGTGCATGTATACATACTTCGTCAAGATGAAGGACAGAGCATCAAGAATGGTCAGCCATATCGAGTCTACCATAGAAGTACAAAGCATTGCCGTCTTTCCTGTGCATTTTGTTGGTGGACCAACCTCAAATCTCGGTGATTCAAGCTGTTAGCTCCAAGAAAAAGGAACACATGATACGCAGTTGCTTTTCTTATAAGATATTTGAATGGTTTAAACATAACATATCAGTGGAGCTTTAAATCATATTTACCTCACCAACATCTACTGCCTCATCAGTCAAAGTGGCCACAGCAAAAACAATTCCAAGCAGGCCTTCAATTGCCAATGTCACTGCATTGGCCTCACTAGCAACCAAGACAGCAGTATTGGATGCATCACTATCCAAGCTCCACTCAACTCCTGGAAATAGAAAAAAGTGAAGGAGTTTGCACAACCAAACTGTGTTATCTACTTTGATTATCAAGCAATAAAGAATTAAAAAGTTTTTTCTTTCTTCCTTCTCTTATTTCTGATTGGCTCCCCCGTAGTTCCTACGTGCGTGCATGAGTTTCTTTTCTTGAAACCCTAGGTCGGAGTTCTTACTCCATATATCTCGTACCCGTAACAATGATTAACTATCATTGGTACCGCTGCCAGGAATGCTTTGGACAACACCATCCTTGACAACGCTATCATTGGTACCGCTGCCAACGCTGCAACCTCCCTCACTCGAAAATTTGCCAAAAACTAGCTACACCCTCTACTTTAGGGATCCATTTTTTATACCAAAGTCACCCCAATTGATCATTGTCTTTCATGGTCCTTTCCTAGTGATACTTCTCAGCTTCAAGTTAGCCCAGCACTTCTACAAGTTTTCGATCTCCATCAAGAATACAAGGATCACACTCACTTTTTATTGGTGAAATGATCCAGCATCATGTTCAAGATTACAAGCTTGAGACAAGCTTGATCTCCAAAAGGGGTGTAATGATACGATCAAAATTGTCTTAGAATTATTATTAGTAGTTATTATTTTGATAAATATTAAGTATTAGATATAAATATTAATAAGATTATTATCATTATTATTATTAGATTACTATTAATCTATTATTAGTAGTAGTAATTTCTGATTAAGTTTTAGTTGTAGTCTCCTACTAGTATTCAGTTTCCTAATTTGTTCACCACTAATTAATGGTTTGTACTTATTTAGCAACTAGTTATTTGGTGAGATTCTATTGTTAAAGTTTCCTCTTGTGTTTTAGAATGTACGCCTCTAGTCTATATAAGAAGGCAATTACTCTGTATTATCTGTTATGATAAATAAAGAATTAAATAGTGTATTTCTCACACTCTCTCAGTCACTCACACACACAAACACACACCCACACTCACATATACTCCCACACACTCACTCACTGCGACAGGCATGTATTATGTGTGTGCCTGCAAAAAAGAAATGTGCCCACCTTTTATTGCATGTAATGACCACAATAAATGTTTCCTGCAATGAGCATAAGCATTTGATTACAATCCCTGTTACAACCTTACATTTTACAGTTTGTTGATTATGCCCAATCCAAAGTAAATTCTTGATATTGACAGCATTGGCTTTAAGTATTTTGATTTTGACAACAGTGGCTTTAAGTATCTTGAGAAACACGTGATGCATATAATCAATGTTGGTTGATTAAAAGTTAAATTGTCGTTAAATAACATGATTACTGTGTAACCGTAACATGCCTCTCTAACTCTAAGACATTAGACTACAAGTTATGGTCAAACAGGTTGAGTGTTAAAGCTAATACATAACTCATGCTTGAAGTGAAGTATGTCCACTCGTTAACATCAAATCAAGATTCTATTACCTTTAGATTTACTGGTAAACATTCCAGCAACAGCTTCAAGGCTCTCCTCGCATGTGTCTTGAAACTGCAATACTGATGCGTAGTTAAACACTATTTATGTAAATTGCCATGACCCAAGGACCACAAGGAGACATACTCAAACAGTACATCGAACAATGAAGTTTGCATAGCACATACGAAAAAGCGTATTCTTGTACATTTTGAAAATGATGACATATGGACCTTTCATTTATGGACCCGAACACTACATATGGGCCTTTGTGTATTCTTATGAGTTCATGTTTTTCATATCTAATACAAATGAAACAATGACTGTTTCCTAAATACAAGCTAATTTGGTTATCTATCCAGCAATATTCCCTGCAATTGAAGAAAAAATTGACATGAATTTCTTATAGGCAAAGGATCCTACTTATTGGGAAACATAAAATCATACCCCAGCAGCTAATATTTATCGTAATTGAGTTACAGCGTGGATCATGGGAAGGAGGGTTTTCGGATGCTAAATCTGAACCCCCCTCCTGGGGTTATTACCCTTGATTGTAGCCCTGATTTGAATCTTGATGTGTGGTGGTGTCTTGTATCGCAGCCTTCTCGCCGTGTGGCACTATAATTCCTCCAGCTCCAACTACGTTGAAGAAGCCAAATTGCAGTAGGAGAGGGAGTCCTAATTGACGCAGCTTTCTCTCAATTCCTTTCTTGAGTGTATTGGTTTGTGACTGAAAGGATTTGGGTCTAAATTTTGAGAAGAGGACAGCAGGCTATGCTTCGGGTCAGATCCTCCATTTGAAGCTCCACTTTCTTTCTTTAAAATTTGGAAGCCCATTTGGCGTCTCCAGCCCACTCGAAGCTCCAAGAGTATATCTAACTAGTTTTTTACCCCGTGCTTCGCTGGGGTTGTATGCACTTGTTTGTAATATGGAATTTTGATTTTGGGTGTTATGCGTTTAACTAAGTGGTTAAACGAAGATTTAGTTGATGTAAAGCATACAAAACTTTCAATATTTAATTAAGTCTTTAATTTCTTCCCTACTATTGCATTTGCACCAAGATGCGCCACTGCCAATTTTAAGTGGGAGGTTGGGGCAATTTTAAATATGCTGATGTGTGAATTGATGTGTGAAATAAACACTGCGTTCCCACCTGAAAAATCATCTTTATGTATTCATTTGAAGATTCACAACAATACTAAATTAAGTAAAAAAACACCTAGTTAATAACAATCCAACATGACCAGGAGAAGATCTTGGCTAATAATTATTTGATGAAAATGATTTTTGTTGAGCCTAAGCTATTTCTTCTTTGCACTGCTTCTTTTCACTAAGGACAATCCAAATCGTGATAATTCAAAAGGGTGAAGCAAAATAGGCATTTTCTAGAGCACTATCGTCTACCATTCGGGTGACCTTGACCAAAGCCCAAATTAGTGGTTTTTTACTCAATTAGTACATATAAATTCAAACTTGAATTATGCTTAATTCAAATACGCATAATTGTAAAGGGCATTGAATTGGATTTTATCAAAAATTGAACTTACTATAAAATTCCGAGTTGTGCTATTACTGCCTTTCATTGAAATTCTGCCCAAGAAAGTTTGTGCTTTGGGCACCACCCCGAGAACGCATCAAGCATCCAAAAACACACCCACATTTCTAGGCAAGCAAAGGGAAAAGCCAAACAGCAGCAAAAAGAGTCAAAACAAAAACAGCAACCCCAAAGAAAAATCAAACAATCAAAGACACAGGTTCCACTGCCCAGCCATGGAAAATCAGAAATTCAAAGGCTGAAATCCAGTGACCAGCTGGTTTAGACCTCCAAGACCAATTCCAGGTTGTTAGTGGTGTCATATTCATCTTCGCTTAACTATTAGAGCTCCATGAACAAACCAGTAGAAGCTGGACAGTCCAAAACCTTGTTTTTTTCTATCTTAGGGGATTTCAGATGAAGAAGTTGGCGAAGCCATACAATTCATTGTTAGTGATGAAGCCCTACAATTCATTGTTGTGCTCCAGGGTCGACAAACCAAATCAAGTTCTCATCAAATTGAAAATAATCAATTTGCTTAAAAAAATTGAATTAAAATTAAAGTCTAAGAATTTCTAAAAATTGAACAAAAGCTGGGTAAATCGACATTCTAAGAATTGGGGGCATGGACATACCAAAATTGAATAAAAATTAGATATGAATTTTGGAAACAAACCTAGTTCTTGAATCGCTGAAAAATTCAGATTTCCATCCGGGATTCTCGCCAATTATTCGTAAGTCGAAACTTTCTTCCTCCTTTCCTTTAGCGAAGAGTAGACGCGAAAAACTGCATAATTTGGACGAAATAAGGCATGTCATTTAGCGAAGAAGAATCGCACCGATCGTGATGGTAAACAATGGGTTTTACATTAAAACCCCTGAATACCAAAAACAGAAAGAAGAAAGGGCTGTTAGCGATCTAACTCGCTCTCGGCCTCTCTCTGTTTCGTCCCTCTCTGTTGTCATCCATCCGATGCTGCCCTTGGCTCCTATCCCTGCGTACGAATGCTTGTCTAGTAGAAGACCCTACCCTGGGATAGTGATATATTGATGCTGGATTTGGAGGATTTGAATTGAGGATTGATTGGGGGGGTTTTTAGATGAACCAAAACAAAGCCACGTACACTTAAACTAACACATGTGGATTGACACGTGGTGGCCCAACAATTGATGTACTCTACTTAGACCTGGCAATCGGTCAATCGGTTCGGTTTCGGTTCGGGTCTCTTTCGGATATATGTTATAATCGGTTCGGGTCGGTTCGGTTTGGGTCAGTTCGGTTCGGGTCAGTTCAGTTGAATACACATCAACATATGTAAAAATATATAGGTAATTCGTTTTCTCCAAATTCATTTGATAAATGAAATATTAATGAATTTGATCAATTTCGGGTCTAATCGGTTTCGGGTCTAATTGATTCCGGGTTTAACCGGGTTCGGGTTTATCGGTTCGGGTTTAATCAAATTCGGGTCTGAATCGGGTTTAAATACATTCGGTTCGGGTTCGGTTCGGGTCGAATCATTTCGGGTGTTTGGTTCTATTTCGGTTCTTCAGTTTTCGGGTCAATTCGGATTCGGTTCCGGGTTATTCGGTTCGGGTCATCGGGTCCGGGTCAGTTATGCCAGGTCTAAATCTACTTTATATATATATATATATATATATATATATATATATATATATATAGTCTAATAAAATATACTTCGTACTTATATAACAATCGCTTTGTTTCAAAAGAATATTTCCACTTTTACTTTTCATCCGTCTAAAAAAATACTTCACCTTCAATTAAAATCTCTTTTAGCCATACTAACTATTATCCTACCAATCATATCATATACTTTTAGTCTACATATTACATTACATTTATCTACTATTAATTTATTCATTACATCATATCTGACCCTACTATATATAAAGTAAAGGAAAAAATTTAGAAAATATCACCAAAATTACACATTTTTAAAATCCCACAGGTTTTAAAGTAAAAGGTGTATTGGAATGAAGATATAATACATTATTACATGAGATGAAATTGGCAACACATGACATCAAATAGAGATTTGCTATAATCACAAACACTTTGGTCACAAAACACACAAACTAAATATTTATTTTTTAAATAATTAACATCATTTTATTCACTAGTGAGGTGCACAATTTGCAAAGTTATGTACTTTGTCAACAAAGTGTTTGTGACTCTATAATTTCTCCCTAAAATAAAACACATAGTATGACATTTGGCAAAAGAGCTTAGGTGGCAACACATGGCATGTTACTTGGCAAACAAATTAAAGTCTTACATGGCATGACACATGGCGCAACCACAATTAATCCGCTCTACTTTATATATATACACTAGTATTTCAACCTGTGCCATGCACGGGATGAAACGAATATTTTTTACTGTTTAATGTTTTTTGAATGCTACCGATTAAAAAATCCAACGATATATAATATTGATATCAAAACTTAAACGAAGGATATACTATATTTGCTAATGAATTTTTTTAAATATAAATTTCAAAATGAACATGTCGAGGACCTATTAAATCTAATTTTTTTGAAAAACTTCAAAATATATATCATTTTTAGTGAAGTTGCAAGGATTACCATTGTCATGTAAAATTGATACTTTCAATCTGATTTTGTTTTTACTTGAGAAACAACAACACAACATTAATTGTGAGTGAATAATAATTTAATAGAAAAATAAACAAAAGACAATATTTGACCTTAATTTTAATTGATAGTCAAAACAAAACATAAGATTATAAGATATTATTATTTTTGAAACTTCAAAGGCTAATCCAAGATCACACAGTACGATATTTGTTTGGGGTATGTAAACTTTCTCCATGACCTTATTTTCTGATACTACAATCGTACTGATGACATTTTTTTACAAATCTTTAACGATTAACCTTGTACCATTACACAATGCAGATGTTTGATCAGTGTCTTTTATTAATATGATTGGTAGATAGCTTTTTAAATTGTACCCAGAGTATATAACATTGTATTTTTAATTAATAAAACTAATTGTATAACTATGCCTATTTTAAAAAGTAAGTTGTAATAATGAAATAGATATTTGTAAATGAAATTTGTATTTAATAGGACTAAAACATAAGTCATTTCCCAATGTAAGACTTAAACATTTTTATTCCACAAATAATGCTTATTAATGTCTAGTGGAGGAATAATGTTCAGTGATGTTGGAAAATAAAAACATATAGTTCATATTAAAAAAAGCCATTATGTATTAGTCATATTTTGGTAAATTGCCCTATTTGTAAAGTAATTAGAAAGTGAAGATTTTTATAAAAATTTAATTAAAATAATAGTTACTTAATGTTAGAAAGTGAAGGGTTTAATAAACTTTTGTAAAATGATGGTTATTTAAAAAATTAGAAAGTAAAAGATTGTATACCATTTAATAAAAATGGTAATTTAATTTAAAGTTTAATATTGTGTGGAATGAAATGTGTTTTGTGTGCATGCATTTTGTTAAATTTTATACAAAATTAATGGTCATTGAAATGTTAACAAAAATTCTTTTAACTAATAATAAATTTAAATGAAAATGTCAAAGGAATAAATAAAGTAATGGCGCTATTATATAATGCATTTATGACATAAGCCAAGTGTTATTCTTCAAAAGACATATCACAGAAACATAACTATATTAAAAGAAGAAGAAATATCAATATTGATGATCGAGAAGTAATGGAAAGATCACAGCCATTCTCATTCACAGGCAATTCAAAAGGGTTATTTTAATGTTTGTTGGTTTCTATGATAGTGCTAGGTCACACCTTTAAAGTCTAAAGTTGGACTCTTTTGAACCTGCTGTTGGCCTTGAATGTCGTACGAGTTTAGAAATTATTAGCTTGTTTAGCATCACCGAGATATACTCCTACGAGTTTAGAAATTATTGTGTAAAGGTAATGATATATTTTAATGATTTACTTATGCCCTTTCACTGAAAAATTATTTTTAAAATGTCAAATATATTCTTAGTTGGGGTTATTTTGAAAACGGAACACGAAAAACGAGTTTTGGAAAATTTACACAGGCCAAACGGTACCTGGCTACCGTGTACACGGCACCAGGTACCGCCGGTAGCCAAGTGAACATACCGCTGAACGCTTCACCCAAGGGTTACACGGTACCCCCTACCGTGTAACGGTACCTGGATACCGTACGGTAGGTAGACGGTCGGCCACCCCCGTCCTAAACAGGTACCGCCAGTAGCGAACCAAAGTTTTGGCCTACACGGTACCCCCAAATGGTAGGCTGTACCGTTTGTCACGGTACCTAGGTACCGGACGATACTGACCCTACCGTGAAGGGTACCGGATCCGTTGTAATCACTGTAGCAAATTGCCAATTTAAATTCAAATCACCCCTAATCACTTTCGAACGGAATTTAACATTAAAAACTCAAATTTTAACATTTCAAACTCATATATAAACCCCCTCTAAGTCTCATTTTATTCACAACAACTTCCCAATTAAATCTAAAGCCTCTTTCTCTATTCTTGAGTGTTCTTAAAGCTTTGTTCTTATTTTTCTTACTCTTTTAAGTAAAAAGCTTTCACCATTTTCATACACTCACACACAAGGGCATTTGTGCTTCATTATTTTATATCTTGTGTATAGGCTTTTGTTGTTGCTGATTTAATCTTTTGTTCTTCTCCTACCCAACTTAAATTTGTTATCATTTTGGTAGATAAGCAACACCAATCTTTTTATTGATTTGTAAAAGGTGTGGATAGCCTCTAAATCCTCATTGTAAGGTTGGAGATAGCCTTTAAATCTTCGGTTGTAAATGGTTGAGATAGTCGTAGTAAAATCTCATTTGCTTATTGGCAAGGGTTGTTTGCCAAACCTCGTTTGAGTCTTCTTAGTGAAGTCAAACAAGTTAGTGGAGGTTAAATCCTTGAGGAGGAGCCTCGAGGTACTGGAGTAGGGAGTTCCTGAACCAGTATAAAATCGCTTGTGTCGTATTTTTATCTTTTATACTTTTCTTGCTCTTTTTCCGCTACTACTTTGCGCATAAGTTTTTGTTTTTATTAAAAATTTGCAAACACCCTAATTCACCCCCCTCTTAGGGTGTAAACCGACTTTCACCTGCAAGACTGAGTTTTGGTAGTGCCAATTGCCAAAGAGGTTCCAAAAATGACATGTTTCCCGCTTGGAGAAGGTGAACCACTCTCTATATTATCTTAAACTTGGTAAATATGTCCTCCATCAGCAATGGGATCTCCTAAAACTCCCATCCGAACCAGACATATCGAGGGGAGCTCCTGAACCTCCCATTAAAACGGACTACCGTTGACCAAGTTCTGCTAAGGAAAGATATCTCCACCAAACATCAAGAATATAAAGATTAGTCAAGACTCACAAATTGATACTCCCTCCGTTCCAAAATATAAGCAACACTCCACTATTTAAAAATCCCGGGAACTTTTATTTATTTTTGCATTTTCATTGATTATTTGATAGAATAAAATATTCTTGTCACCACTTGTTTTGTAGAACTTTTGACGTAGTTTTTAAATATGTAAGTTTTATTTTTTATTTGTAGACCATTCTTTAAATAAAATGGATTGAAAAAATTCAAAAAATTACTTCGTTTAGGGTAATGTTGCTTATATTTTGGGACGGAGGGAGTACAAAACTATGTGAACCCCACTGGAATGGTTTGATACACCCCATCCGGCCTAAACATAAAAAACCCAGTTAAGACTACTTTTCTAATAAGTCTTTATTCTAAGAAAAAGGAAGGACTTGTTAGTAGCCTTCCATTTGAGTAAAAAAAGAGCTTCATGTTAAAGTTAAAGTCCTAATGACACAACATAACAAATGCCTTAGACATAAAAAGATATACCCTTTACCACTCCTCTTTCTCAAATTTCTTTAAAATCCTTACAAAAGCAAGGATACCCTCAAAATTCTTTTGATGTTGTATACTTGTATATAAAGTTTATTATTCTTATTTCTTACGGGGTATTATTTTCTTAAAGTAGTTTCTTATAATTGAGGAGATAAGAGTACCTGTAGCGGAAGTTGGTAGCTGCAAATAAATCAATTTTGGCCTCAATATTTGTTCTGCCACCATTCCACCATTCCACTGGTGTTGTACCTGTAAAGCTGATCTCGCCAACTTCTAATTTCATGTCCTAATGTCTAACTATGGTAAAATCCAAGAGAATAATGTAATTAGAGGACTGTTAGAATACCTCCACGCCCACCATGTAGTTGTGACACCTTCAGCCATAGTTTTTACAACACAAAGCGAGCCACTTCTCAAGGAGTCATTAGCGCAAGGCTCTGAAAGCTTAATAAATTATTCAAAATAATTTCTTGAAATTGAAAGAGAATCTAGAAAAAAACAAAATTGGTGAAATTGGAATCTTTTATACCCCTTTGAAAGTTGCCATTTTATTCTACTATGTCTGCCAAAATCCATGGTTGGAGTCCTGTCCTTGATCTACATGGAGTATTTGACTAACACCTCCAATTCTTTCAAGGAGTTCCTAAACCTCGAACCTTATAAAGAGATTATTTAAGTGAAGCAAAAAAAGAATTCAAATAATTAGGAAATAAAAATACATGGTCATTTTTTTCATCCCAAAGTTGAATGAAATAATCATTTGTCTGCCATTAAACGTTGGTAAGAAGCCAAGGTGGAAACTCTCCCTCAGAATCTTTAGCATGAACAGATTAGAAACAATCAATATTATGTCCAAATTTAAAACAGTATACATTAATAAGCCACACTGGAATTTTCAAGTAATGCTTGTTATTCAATTAAAAATAACTTTTCAAGGCAAAATGCATTTTAGTAAAAAACATCAATTACACTCTGTGCTATTGATATTAGTCATACTCGGTAAAAACAGTAAGCATCAACACTGCATTTTAGTGTACACTTTGCATTGACCAAAATGTTCATTGGTTTGAGATCACGATGGTAGACACTCTGTGCAAAACAGTTAACATTCATGAAGATATAAAATCTGGCATATGTTAAACCATTTATTTTGACAACGCATTTTCCATATGTTTAAAAGAAACCCAATTACTCAGAAACAACTCTTGCAAGATACATAGGGCATAGCATAAACATATAGAATAAACATGATTAAAAAACCAACCCATGCGCAAGATAAAATTACATTAGGCATAGCGAAAAAAACCAACTTGCTTACAATTCTATTTTGGGAATAACGTATGCATATAAAAATATTATGGAATTGGATACTAATTTAGGAACAAATACGAATCTCTTTTGACTTTTGGAGACATAAGAATCATCCAATAAAGGAATAATGATCAATTTTTAAAACAAATGAATCATCCCTTTCAAAAAAATCTCTTCAGATCTGAAATAGTTACGAAATATAAACCTATGAATTTTAAAAAATCAAATCAAATATATATACCGTGGAGTAAATTATATATATATCAACAAATAAGAACCCTACCAACTTTGGGAAAATCATATTAATTAAAAATTTACCATCAGAAACTGTAGAGTAAATAAAATGAAGAAAAAAAATACCTGATATTGCGAAAGAATCATTGATACGCCGAAATTTAGGTTTTAATTGAGAGAAATAGGCTACCACCGAATATAATTGATATAATTGAGAAAGGAAACCTGAATTCGTGGTTCTTGTAGTCTAAGATGGCGAAGAAGGAAAGTAGATGGTGAAGGAAAGCACATAATTGAAAGGCGATTGACGACGAAGAAAATGAAAGGAGATCGGCGAAGATTCCGAAGAAGAGGAAAGCCGCTTATTCTCTCCGCTTGATCTCTGCGTTCTTTTTAAGGGAGTCTATGCCACTACCTCATCTTGTCATCTCACAATTATTTCAATTACTTGTTTAAAAAGGTGTCACATCAGCTTCGCCAAATGTCGCACCATGGCTCCGCCAAATGTCGTCTTCCTGCAGTTCTGACTCTACTTTATATATATAAAGGATATGATGATAAGCTTAGTCAAGGAAAATTTGGGTCCAAAAGAATAATACTCGTATTCAAAAATAAACTAAAAGTGTGCATTACGAATAGATTTTGTAAATAATGCCTAAGATGCAAATATGATCATTTAAGTGTTAAATTGCACTTTTTAATGCATAAAAGTACTGATTTGGTAAAGATTAACTAAAGAATATTTTGGACTCAACAGTCAACACCACCCTTGAAACCCTAGCTCGCTGGTTCATGCCTAGTGAAGCAAACCGGGGCTATATGTCATATCCTATTGCATTAATGAAAAATGACATTTGGATTGTGCATTCTCCTAGGTTGATAATAATTTCTAGGTTTTCTTTATTGGTTTATCATATTTTGAGAAAAGTTTTGTTTATGCACATTCAAGGTGGTGTTTCCAGGTTCGCTAAAATGATCATTGTTCAACCTAGTGTTCTTTCTAAGTGGTTCGCTAAAATGATCATTGTTCAACATTGTGTCTTCTTGAGAGCGTGAAGATCGTTTATGAATTTTGCAAATCGTTCAAACATATCGTCTATTTTCTCGTTCTCCTTCATAAGAAATAATTCATTTTCGTGGGCATGATCCGTACCTTTATATGTGATTTCTAGCTTGTCCCACATTTGCTTGACGGTGGAACAACATGAAATCTTCTGGTAGTCATCCGGATTCACTTCACAATAGAGAATGTTGATAGTTGATGATTGATTTTTTGGTAAGTCAACCTTCCCAATGAAGGATTAGTTTTCTCCGAGTGTTGTGTCTCTCTAGTAGTGGACGAAGGGATTAGCTAATTTTTATAACTAGGCGAAGATTAGAACGGGTCTGAAAGTCTTCTTAATTTGATTTCAAAATAAAAGTACGAGGTGCTTTTTGAGAAAAAGAAAATAAATAGTATGAGTATAAGACTAGACTTCGGCCAAGGCATCATCAGGCCTAACTACTGTTGTCACTTATTTAGTCAATAATAGGAATAATAATATTTCTGTCACAAATATTTCATTAACTTATCCTCTCTCAACTCAACATTAATTAATTTTGGATTAATTAATTTTATATCTTCATAGACAAGACAAAAACTAATTTCCAATAATTAATTAATTTTTCTCTGGACATAACTAATTAATTTAGCAATAAAAATAATTCTAGAACAATTATTCCAACTATTAAATAAACATACAGGGTATATGCCAAATTTTGCCAGGACCCTAACCTGGGCCCTAACTCATACTAGATATCAAGAGTGCATAAAAGAAAAGAACATTTTAATAAAAGATGTAAAAAATAAACTTACAACTGAAAGCATAGTCAAAGCCACTTTGGGACAACCGGAACAAAACTTAACTAAAATATTAAAATATAACTGAGAACGGGAGCTAGAAATTGGGTCCAGACCTTAAAAGACCCGGAAGAAGGCTTGTTTTGGATGAAGGGGCGAAGCCTTCCTTTTATAGGAGAAAATTTTGGTCCAGGCTCTTGACATGTGTGGGCCTGAGGTGCAGATTGAAGTGTGCATGGCGGCTAATGAATTCCACAGGGAGGATCCTTTCCTTGCGTCATTATACTTCTTTCTTTTGTTTTTTATGAATGATTGAGATTGTGGTGGCTGCAAATCTGAATGGGATGTACCACCTTGCTGCTGCTGCTACAGTTGGCCGGCCAGCCAGGTCGCGCCACGTGGCAGCACCTGGTTGGCCGGATTTTGATCCGGTCCAAAAAAAATTTCTAAAAATACCATCTTGACCAAAATTTTATTCTGAACACTTTTTTCTTCTACGCCGACTTCAAATTCCAAACTAATTTGGGTCAAACGAATTAAATTTGAATTGAATCCTTTTTTTAACTTTTTTCCTTCAAACAATTTCTTTTTGGTATTTTTTTCAATTCGTTTGACCTCAAATCCTTTGACAAGCTAAGGTGCATCACCCTATTTCAATATACACTTTCACTTCATAGATTTTCATCATCTTTTACCTCTTTGCTCTGTTGCATTCCATTTGCATAATCTTTTACACTTTTTGTACCACTTTTGACTCAATTTTTATTCTTTTTACAACAACACATAACTTTTGTGCTTTTTTACAATTATAAATAAAAACTTGTAAAAACCATTGAAAAATTTATTTGTTTAATCCAAATTTGAACAATAACACATTAAATATAGAGAAGATAAGTGCATACAAAACGGACTTATCAAATTCCCCACACTTAAGCGTTGCTTGTCCTCAAGCAACAGAGTACAACAGCAAATAAAATTTTGGATCAAACAATTATGAAAAAAATTGGAAAAAACTATTGACCACACTTTTAAACAATTTGTTGCACAAAACTCTTTAACATTATTTAATCTTTACAATAGTAGAATTACTAGAAATAGCATCCTTTTTACAAAAAGTTAGCAAAATATTTTATTTGTTTTTCTAAAAGATGCACATAAATTAATGTTATTGGCTAAATGTAAAAGTTGTCCATTTACAAACTTAGATACTAATGTCTAAAACAAAAGAATTGTAAGTGTTTTATAATAACTGCAAAACAATTTAAGGTCAAAAATATGTACATTGAAAAAAAATTAAAAATAACTTTTCTGAAAATATCATTTATTCTTATGCAAAGAGTAAGTTTGGGTTATTTTTTTAGAACTTCACTTTGTCATGTCAACACAAGCAAAAAAACTTTGATCCTCATCCCATGACATAGAACCATGAGCTTTTTGGATTTTTATTCACTCAAAAGCCTCATCACACGACATGGAACCGCATGCTTTTTGGCACTCACTTCAATATAAGTCTCATCAATATTTGACATAGAACCAAACGCTTTTTGACTTTTCAATTACTCTAGAACCTTGTCTCACCAAAGTGTGTTCTTTGAATTTTTTTAGTTCCAAAACTTACAATGCAATCATTGAAATATCAATTTTTTAGAAAAATATACTGCTCATACTCAATTTGAAGTATTGAAACAACATCATTTTAGAGTTTCAAATAAATGGCAAGCTACAAATGTTTGACCTTAACGTATTTTACAAGTTAATATTTATTCACTAAAACAATGATTTTATTTTCAACACATTAGTATCCAAATTTATTTATTTACAAAACTTATTAAAGTTAGCCAATAAAAAGACTATATGTGCCATTTAAAGAAAAAATTTAAAATTTTGGATAATTTTTTGCATAAGGGGGCTCTTAAAAATAATTCTACTTATGAAAAGAGTAAAAAGTGTAAAACAATTTTAAAAGTATCAATAATGATAACTAGACCGGTTCAGAGTATTCGGGATCAGGCAGAATGCTGCCAATTAGGTACTCTTAGGCTCACCCGAATAAACTTTTCCACGAAATGACCTAGTAGGAATGGTGGGACAAGTTCGGCTCCCGAAGGCGTCACCCTTTGCATCCACTTAAGTACCATTCCAGCTTAGATAGTCATTCCGTACACGATGTAGAGATCACTATTAATATACAAAATGCAACAAAGATTATAAAAATATTTTCAAAAAAAATTTCCTAAACAAATAAAAAATATTCTGCACCAAACTCCAATCTCCCCACACTTAGGGTTGACCTCGCCCTCGAGGTCATTAAGCGATAAAAAATAAGAGTTTGGGACAGAGACAATTCTTATTTTTTTGAAAAGGTTTTTACAAGAAAATTTGTGCACAAAAGTTAGTCATTTCTTTTTTTTTGTTGAGTCAAAATGGTTCGAGAAACGGTATTCTATTATTAGTTGTCTGTGTCATATCAAAATACAGTTTTTATTATCACAGTTATCAATAACAAATTAAGAATACTCTTTTTAAACAGTAGTCTAGTTAATCAGTCTAGAACTGTTTTTAAAATTATGAGAAACAATAATCTATTGCTAGTTGTCTATATCATATAGTATTTTTGGCACTATTGTTTATAATAAGAATACAATACTCTTCTTTAACAATAGTCTAGATACTTAGCCAACATCGATTTTTAAAGTTCATAGAAACGGTAATGTATTAGTAGTTGTCTGTGTCATATCAAATTTGGTCTTTGTTGCCATAGTTGTCTATAATAAATTAAGAATACTAATTCTAAACAATAGTCAGGCTATAAAGCCTAGAACTATTTTTAAAGTTATGAGAAATGGTAATGTATTACTAGTAGTCTGTGTCACACGGGTTTTTTTCACAGTTGTCTAAAATAAGTTTAACAAAACTCTTTTAAAGAGTTGTGTAGATAGTAAGCGTAGAACTGTTTTTAAAATTATGAGAAATAGTAATCTATTACTAATCGTCTGTGTCATATGATTGTTTTGCTAGAGTTGTTTATAATAAGTTAAGAATACTCTTTTTAAACAGTAGTTTAGCTATTAAGTCTCAAACTTTTTTAAAGTTCAAAGAAACGATAACCTTCACTACAATGAATATGTGTATCCTATCTAACGTTACTTTTGTAATTTTGGGCAAAACTTTAGACAACAATCAAATAACCGATGTTTAAAACAATTATCATTTTAAAAAATAAACACTTTTATTGAAAGAATATAAAAAGTACATGGAGAGGCTGTGTAATGTCCCGCTACACACATAAAAGCAAAAAAAAAACAAAAAGAAGATGGCGAAATCCAAATAGAACGTAGGAGTGACCCACAGTAGATGTAGAGTGTTGGCCCGAGGAACATAAAGGGTCCGTTATATCTATCGCACACAAGCTTTGGCTCGCCATTACTGTCTGAAACAAAGCCTTGCACTAGAGGGGACCTTGTCCTTCGAGTTGACATCTTGGATTTCTTTTCTAAAGATGCTTCCTCAATCTGTTGGGTGCACGGCTAAATAAAGAGGGACAAAACAAGCAGAATTATACTCCCTCCGTCCATAAATAAATTTCCCACTTTCTTTTTCCGTCCGTCCACAAATAAACTTCCCATTTCCTTTTTTGGAAACTTTTTATGGCAAAAAGACTTAACTACCCTT